ATATGAGCTTTTACACACTGGAAAAGTATTGAGCTGTTCTTTAAATGAAGATTATCCCTACAGAAATATTTTATTATTTTTTTCATTAAAAAATATTAATGTATATATCTTCTGTTTATAATGATATATATATAATATATTTACAGCTTAAATCCAGCTTCTCGATGCTTTGTGAACGTGATAATAATTTACACAGATGAGGCACGCACTCTACGTCAAGTGCGTTCCAAGATAAATTCAGAGAATGTAGTGTCTCGTTTTTCCTTAGCCCATTGATAAGAGCTTTCCAAGTTTTAGAGCTATATAGAGAATTCCAGGACAAGTCCAGATGTGTCAAAATTTGGGAGTACGAGAGTAGATTCTGCAAATTTTCGGAACACTTCTCATCCAGACGATTGTCAGACAGATTAACGTTCTCCAAGCCTTGATTATCGGACAATGCGGACGCGATGTATTCGAAACCCTCGTTTCCGATGTGGCAGCTACTGAGATCGAGCGTCTTCAGAGTTGCATTCATCGATATCGCATCGCACAATCTGCTTGCACCATTCGCGCCAATTTGGCAGCCCGATAGCGACAGACTGGTTATCACATTGTTCTTAAGCAGCAAATTGTTTAAATGTTTGCATACGTCCGGGGATAGTTTGTTGTCCTACGATGAGGTAATAATTAATTAAAAGAAAAAATGTCCTATCGGTCGGATTATTAGTGTGAGTTAATGTGTTTGTATTATATTATAAAAAGTTCAAGAGTTATAAATTTCTCTATTTTCTAAATATCTAGATGTAGGATGGTTTGTAAATAATTCTCTTCAATCGGTTAGAGAATATCTCTGCGGATTCTATTAAAAAAGTCGAGTTGTTATTTGATCATTTGTAAGTCTGTAGTACCTTGAGGTCCACTGTCTGCACGTAAGTATTATCCGTCAAAGCCTCGCAAATCGCTCTTATCACGGACGATTCGAGCCCGTAGTGTCGCAGATTTACTTGATCGTTTACGAGCATTTTTCTTAACGAACTGATCGGCCGCAGATCTGAATGCTTCACTATGTCGTAGAATTTCTGCACTCCATCCGCGCTGTAAATTGGCGGAGGTTCGTGCAACAGCCAGAAAGCTGGTAGCAATCCGGGATCGCCCGGTATTTGGTACACCGTGTATGGATTCACTAGTTTCAACTGGGAATCGCTGATGTCTATCTCGCGCAGACACGGATGAACCGAGCTCTCGGTGGATACTCGGTCGCTCACGTCGGTTACTTCGTCTTCCGGTGTGATCGGTGTTTCCTCGGACACATCGTCGTCCGTTTTTTTTTTGACATGCTCCTGTATTTATCGTATCAGTCGATTAGAGATTTACAAAGAAGAAAATCGATCTCGTTATTTATTTGCATTGCTGTAGCTCTCTTAATTCTTGAAGCACTTTTAATGCAATCGTAATTTACGGAAACTGAAACGTCGTAACATTCGTGTTACGGAAATTTTCTATTAAGCTACAGTTACCAAGCTCAAGTTACACCGATTAGATGCCGCAAGTGTTTCCTCTTTTCTTCATCCTCAGCCGTTAATTTCTTCGTCTTTCTCGCTTCGTATTCTATTGTATAACCCGTCATTATGTCGGTTTCGTCGATAACTTCTGATTCTGTTTCGATGTCTTTCTCCTCTTCTTCCATGACAATGTCTTTCTCTTCCCCTTCAAAGTCATCGTATTCATATTCATTTTCGTATTCAGTATCCGTATCCATCTCTTCATATTGCAAAGCTTCGTCAGCATCTTCGATGTCTTCTAATGTCTGAATAACGCATTTATGTATTAATATAAGGTTATTTGTAATTATATCTTATAATTGACAGTAATTAAAATGTTTTGACATTATAAAGAATTTTATTTTGGATAATAAAATATTAGAAAATATTTTTGTAGTTTTAGGTTCTAATGTGCTTATTCTTTCAGCTATTGAAGAAAAGAAAGTATGCATATTAGAATATTGTAAAAATTAAATTGCATTATTTAAATACTTGTGTGAGATCCATATTTGTCCAATATTTATTATTTTCACTTGAAATTAGTGATATAACTTAACAAAACCTTATATAAATATAAATATTATTGTATTAAGACATAACGTTCTTTTGTAAATTGGTAGCAATTCGTTATGTGAAATTAGTTGCAAATTTACGTAACAGACAAAAATTATAAACAAGCATATTAAAAGTTATGTATTATATAACGTATTTTTCAACTTTCTCGAATTTATAATATACGTAAAATTTCAATTCTCGATTTCGTAATAATTGCGTAAAAAGAAGACTGTTCACGTTTATCCGATCTTTTGAAAACAATGTATTATTAAACAAAAGGATTTAAAAGCTCTTTTTATTCTTACAAAAAAGCGCTTTTGTTAAACTATGCACAAGAGTTTTTCTTCAATAACATCTTTTAAATTACGAGAGACAAAATATCGAAATCATGCAAAGGATCGTCGATCGAATGATCATCGAACAATTGTGCAGATTTCATTTTCAATACAATGTGTCTCTGCATGATCGAGTCTTGGGAGAAAATTTTTTTACGTATATATAAATTTATTCTTTGCTGAGATAAATAATTTTATCTATATCAAGAATCTTCGAGAAATTGTAACATATATTATATCCTCGATAATGAAAGGTTTAATTATATAAGTAGAAAATGCATAGTATTTAGCATTTAATAAAAAATTCGATAATGATTTTTAAATTTCGATAATGATTCTTCACAAGCTTTAATTATAGTTAGAATTGCTAATCAATCGTTGGTGAAACTAACTCGGAAGAGTTTGGAAGTTCCGTGGTATTCAATAAACGATTTTCGGCCACTTGCGTCTTTTATGGTATAATGATGAAAGAGCTACGATAGCTCTCATTCTGTCGCGAGAATGAATTGTCGATAAGGAGAAAGCTCATCTTCTTCTCACGAGGATGTCAATCGGCGGCTACTATCACGTTTCACACGGGCCGCAATCGTTCGTCGCGGGTTGCGTGATTCATTCACCGGGTATTCGTCAAGTGGCTCTTCTGGACCATTGTATTGTAATTTCGGCAGATCGTTCGTTCACAAGCGACGAGCGGTACGCGCTCGTACACGAGGGGGATCCGTCCCGTCTCTCGTCATCGCATCGACGGCAAGATATGGCCCGTCGAGTTTGCTTTGTTAATCTCAGCCGCGCTTTCGATGGTAATAGCATCGGTATTATCCCTAATGAAACAATCGCGACGGGCCATTGAAATCTCGGCGCCGTTGATAAGATCCGTCGCGCCGAGCCCGTATCTCTATCACCGAAGAGAAAGAGAAACGAATATATCTTTATCGTTTCTTGCGTGATTGGCCAGCAACGATCCTTACTATAATTTCCTCATTATAATTGTTTTTTCATCTGAAAAATAATAAAAAAATAAACGGTTTGAATTAATTGTGAAATTTAGACGCATTACTGAAAAAGAAAGCATTTAAACATAATAATCAATTTGTAGATATGAATCGACAAGTATACACGTGTATTAATGAGCAATTAATGCTCCTTAGTTTTTTAACTTTGGGTTGTAGATGTATGTACATGTGGCCTTCTCCTCAATCTCTGGTTTTTTCTTCCGGAAAAAAGATTGCGATAGAACAGCGCATTTTTTTTCACGATTCAGATGCGGTGGAATATGGAAGGATTTATATTTATATATATATATTCGCCGTCTTTCGCATCTATGTATTCATACAATAATATAGTTTTCTCCATAAAATAAAATATCTATGATAAAACTTTGTTCCTTCCTGCTGTAAATCTACGTATGTCTAGAACGAGAACTATATAATAATCAATTTGTAGATATGAATCGACAAGTATACACGTGTATTAATGAGCAATTAATGCTCCTTAGTTTTTTAACTTTGGGTTGTAGATGTATGTACATGTGGCCTTCTCCTCAATCTCTGGTTTTTTCTTCCGGAAAAAAGATTGCGATAGAACAGCGCATTTTTTTTCACGATTCAGATGCGGTGGAATATGGAAGGATTACGCAAATATTGTGTCATCGACACATTACACAAGGATGTAATAAATTGTACTAAACACCATGTCGAAGGATTGTACTTTTTATTGAAATCTTTCACATCGCCGTGTAAATCTATGCGAAAGAGAAGAAGAATGGGGGAAAGAAGGGATAATAAAAAGGTGTTTATGTACATGCATTCGTTTGCACATTTCTCGATGTCAGACACGAATAATCACAACGTGTGGATGTTCTTTAACTATCTATCGTCGATTAGATCAGAAGCATTAGTTTGATAGATACGGTTTTTTTTACCGTCGTTGCTTCGTTTTGAAGTGAATATGAGAATTGTCGTATAAAAGTGATCAACTATTGCTTATGATCTCTGGAAATTATTAATACGAGACAATATAAAATAAAAATAATATAATATAAAATAATATATATAATATA